AATAAAATATAAGAAAATATATAATAAAATTTAAGAAAAAATATAAGAGAAATGTTATTAAAAATGCAGTTATATTATAATAGATAAATCAAACCTCTATGATTTTCTATTTATTATAATTTTATTAGAAATTATTATTGTTTTATCTATAATAATCTTTGGCACTACACATTTTTATAAAGAAATTTTTGAATTTATTTCAATTTCAGGTCTTAAACAAATTTTATCAACAGTGATCACAAAAGCTATTACTTTTTTTATTCAATTTATTGAACAATATCAATATAAGTGGCTCTAATTAAATGAAGAAAAAAAAAATCGGTTACTAAATCTAAAAAAAAAACAACTAAAAAAACAGCAACTAAAAAAATACCCAAAAAAACAACATCTAAAACAATAAAAATACAAATAAAAATAGTAGCAAAAATAGTAAAAAAAACTAATATAAAAAAAATAAAAATTGTAATAATAGTTGTAGGTATTGTTATATCAATGAACCAGAATCTTGTAGTTCAAGTTGTATCTGTTGTTTTTCTGCTACAAATAAAAATATTTACATAATAGGATTAGAATAAATGGCTAGACCACAAGTGAATTTCTGTACTCCAATAGGTAAACAATTAACAGAACTTGAAAGAACTTGTGGAGTGAAAGATTATTCAGCTAAACAAGCAAAATATAATTCATTTATTCAAAGAAGAAGTCAAAGAGCCAATCTTCAAACACCTGTACAAACATCATATAGACAAAATACTTTACTTAGATAGTCTCAACTTTATTATTCTTTAACTTTATTATTTTAAGATATAAATTTCAATGCAAATACAGGAACTAAATATATATTAGATTTTTATCAAATTCTACATTTAAATATCTTTGGTCATAAAAATAATACGTTAAATTCACTTCAAACTGATAGTCTCAAACAAGGACTTTTAAAATATCAATTTCTATTAGCTAAAGTACAAAAAGGTATAGATGCTGGTGATACATATACAATCAATTCAATTCGAAAAAATTTTAATGTTAGAGAACTAGTTGCGAATTACTTATCAGTCAAGCTCAAGTACTAAATAATAGTTATTTACTATTAGAAAATATATTTGAAGATATTAATGATTTAATTAAATAGTCTAATCAAAAGAAATTATAATATTGTATATAATAAAATTGAACAAATCGATTGTTCAAAATATGACTATGAAAAAATATTCTGTTTTATATAGAAAATTGAAAAACAATGGTATATTACTTGTTTATCTAATGTAGATAGAAATACATTTGTTCAATTTAATACAGGATTCTTCTAGTTCATAACAGTAATGGATATTAATAAATTATTAAGATATTTAAAATATATATCTAATTTAGATAAGGGATCTAAATATAATCTTGGTACTGCTTTTGCACCAGGA